TGCGCCTAATGGGTCTGTCCGTAATTCAATCATTTAGCAGCAGCAATGTACGTACGTGATCGGACTGATATATGTCTTCACGTACAAATTTTCCATCTGTGGCCAATCCAACCAGGGTAGTAGGTAGCTCAATGGTCTTGATTCATTGATCAATGGCCACATTCACATATCTCCATCACATTAAAACCGCCATAACCGTGCAGAAGGAGATGGACGATTCATCTCTCTCTACACATATATGGCGGGTGGTTGGATCATGATAGAGAAAGTATGAGAGACAAATGCTCTGGCAACTAATATGCATGGGACCTACGACGTTATTAATTTCTCACCAAAGAAAAGAAAGGTGTTGGATTCTCTATTTTCTGCTAATTAAAGAAGCAACTACTGTCTGATATTTACTGCTAGTAACTTAGTAATGAAAATTGAAAGGGGTAGGTCTCTTGATAATAGGCCATTAATGAATTATCTATCTCCTTTCAATTTGGTCTAACAAAATAAAAAAAGGGAAAATTTTCAACCGGTATCCTGTTAAGTAAAGTTTCAATTTAGTACCCGAATTTTAAAATGCGATAATCTAGTATCTGAACTTTTATTTTATGACAATCTAATACTTACCATCAATTATGTATATCATTTTATCACGTCACCTCATGTGTGATTTAAAAATTTTGAAAATGTTAAAATTACCCTTAGAAAATGCATTGTTCATCATGGAGATTATAACTTTAAAATACACTGTTCGACATCGTCGGCAATTAGAATAAAAGACTACAAGCACAGTCCCGTCCACTATGCCATTGCACTTGGAGACCATACCACCCTCTCCCGACTGCACTCTTCCCTTCCATCACTAGCCAATCCCTCCCAAATTCACACCGAGTTGGACTTGCTTGCCCAGGAAAGAGTAGCCGACCAGATCTCTTCCATCCTCGACTGCCATGACGTTCCTCATCATGAAACCCCTTTCCACCTCGCCGTCCGTCTCAATGACTCTTTCGCCGCTCGTACCCTTGCTGCTACCGACGCCGATGTCTCCCTTTAGAATGCCTCTAGATGGAACCCCTTATAGGAAGCGGTGTGTCGCCACAGCACCGAGATCACTCTCACTCTGCTCCGCCTCCACCACCGTTCTACCTAGTCTAAATGGCGTCGTAGACTCCCTCGCCTCGTTGCAGTTCTTCGAAGAATGCAAGACTTTTAGGCTTTGTAGCTTCTCCCTCCCCTCTCTTTATTATAAAGTAAAAAAAAACTGTAGCTCACAGTGTAGGCTTCAATGTCCTTGATCTAGTCATTGTGGGACTGAATGTCATCATCGCAAGAGAGGCTCAGTAGCTTCATTCCTCGCTTGGTAAATTCCTATTAAATGTTGCTACACATTTTCAGGAGTCATTGAATCAATTCTCTCGAAGAACAGTAAAGATATGCTATCTTCCAATGTTTGTTTCATTCCAATGTAAATCGTTGCATCTTCCAAAATTAGTTAATTCCAAAGTCTATCGATTCTTCTCCCAAGGAAATTAATGTCAGTCCAAGTCCAATGTAAGTCGGTTCACCTTCAACCGACTTCATCTAGTATAAATATACCTCCTCTGTACTGATTCGACACAACTGAGAGAAATGACAGAATACATCTCTATTTCCTTCAAACCATCAGTGGTATCAGAGCTACGTCCGATCAATTTTCTGGGCATGATTTCTTCTAAACATTATGTGTGCCGACGCCAATCGCTCTACTCTTTCTCTTTCAATTTTCAATGGAGAAAACTATGACTTCTGGTCCATCAAAATGAAGACCTATTTTCGGTCACAAAGTCTATGGAAAATTGTTGAGGAAGGGTTCTGCATTGCTGAAGATACTTCCACTCTTTCAGCAAATCAAAAGAAGATCTATGAAGAGAATCAACAAAAGGATTGTCAAGCACTATTATGCTTGCAGCAAGCAATGGCTGAGGAGATATTTCCTCGAATCATGGGCGCATCAACTGCAAAAGAAGCGTGGAGCACACTACAGGAGGAGTTTCAAGGAACTATCATGGTACGCACTGTTAAATTGCAGAAGTTTAGAAGGGATTTTGAAAATCTTAAGATGAAGGATAATGACACTACAAAAGATTACTATTCTAGAATAAAAGAAATAGTAAATCAAATGAGAGCCTATGGGGAGACTATTTTTGACAAGAAAATAGTCGAAAAAATTCTAATCTCTTGTACAGAGAGATATGATGCAATAATCTCGGTGATAGAAGAAACAAAGGATCTAGAAACACTATCACCAACTGCATTAATGGGCTATCTCGAGACATATGAAAATAGGCGTGATAGGCAGAATGAAAATTCGGTTGAGGCTGCCTTTCAGTCTAAAGTTAATCTGTGGTCTCATAAACCAAAATTTGATGGGAGAAAGTCACAAGGAAAACCAAAAGAAAATAATGACAAGTATTCTTCATGTGGTATTTGTAAGAAGAGAAACCACTTGAAGAAAGATTACTGGTTTAAAGGAAAACCACAGTGCCAAAATTGTAAAAAATTCGGCCATGTTGAAAAAGCTTGTAGATTGAAGAAAACCCATCAAGCTAATTTTTCAGAAAAGAAAAATGAGGAAAATAATCTTTTTTATGCTTGTCATTCTGCAATAGAAGAAAAAAAGGATACTTGGTATCTTGACAATGGGTGCAGTAACCACATGACTAAAAATGAAAGCATCTTTCATAGTCTTGATAAAATCAAGACAAAAGTCAAAATTGGTAATGGCGATTTAATGGAAACAACCGGCAAAGGCACCATTGTTATTGACACCAAACAAGGGAAGAAATACATAAATGATGTACTTTTGGTTCCCAACATTGATCAAAATCTACTCAGTGTGGGCCAAATGATTGAAAAAGGTTACTCTTTACATTTTGAGGGAAACTCTTGCACAATCTATGACAAGCAAGACAAGTCCCTTGAAATTGCAAAAACAAAAATGACTGAAAAACAGATGCTTTCCCATTCAATGGAGAGATGCAAGTTATATAGCAATACAAGCACAAGTGGACGAGTCGTGGTTATGGCATAGAAGATTCGGACACTTTAACTTCCATGGATTAAAGATTCTTCAGCAGAAGAACATGATGCGTAACCTACCAACTGTCAAGGAGTTCAACAATGTTTGTGAAGGGTGTATGCTCGGAAAACAACATCGACAACCCTTCCCATCCGGCAAAGCTTGGAGARCCWAAGAGCCAYTRGAGTTAATTCATACAGATGTTTGTGGTCCAATGCGTACTCCATCAAATAATCAAAACAGGTATTYCAKTCTCTTCATTGATGATTATACTAGAATGACATGGGTTTATTTCTTGCGAGAAAAATCGTAGGTTTTTGATATTTTTAAAAAATTCAAAGCCCGTGTTGAGAAGCAAAGTGGTCACAGCATCAAGACCATAAGAAGTGATAGAGGCAAAGAATATACCTTTAATGAATTCAACAAGTTCTGTGAAGATGAAAGTATGGAGCATCAACTCACAGTCGGGTACGCTCTTGAACAAAATGGAGTATCTAAAAGAAAGAACAGAACAGTTATGGAGATAGCAAGAGCCATGCTCATGGAAAAGGGTCTTCCCAAAATTTTCTAGGCAGAGGCAGTAAGCACTACTGTCTATCTGCTCAATAGATGTCCAACTAAAGTTGTGCCAGATAGGACACCAATTGAAGCTTGGAGTGGGCAAAAGCCATCTACAAAGCATCTCAGAGTTTTTGGGTGCATTTGCTACACATATGTCCCACAAGAGAAAAGAGGCAAACTGGACGAGAAGACTGAGAAAGGAATTTTCTTAGGCTATAGCACTCAATCAAAAGGCTATCGAGTCTATAGCTTAAGAAAAGAAAAAMTCATAATCAGTCGAGACATAAGCTTCGACAAGGATGCTGCATACAATTGGGAGACAAAAGAAGTTGAAAGGAAGACTATCAACTTGCCTCTATTACCAAGTCAAGGAATTGAAGAAGATCATGAACAAATCAGTTCGCCAACACAATCGGAACTGGAACAAGCTTCACAGTCCACTCCGGACTCACCACCAAGGCGAACTAAATCCTTAACAGAAATATATAAAACATGCAACTTGATGATCATAGAACCAGAAAGCTTTGAAGAAGCTTTTAAGGAAGAAAAATGGAGAAAAGCTATGAATGAAGAGATAAAAATGATTGAAAAAAATGAGACTTGGGAGTTTGTGGGTCCTCCACAAGACAAAGACACTATTGGAGTGAAGTGGGTCTACAAGACAAAGCTTAACTCAGATAATTCAATCCAGAAGCTTAAAGCAARGCTAGTTGCCAAAGGATACTCACAACAATATGGTATCGACTACAATGAGACATTTGCTCCAGTTGCTCGCCTTGATACAATCAGGGCATTGATAACACTAACTGCACAAAAGAAATGGAAAACTTTTCGACTTGATGTGAAATCTGCATTCCTCAATGGCTATCTTAAGAAGGAAATCTATGTGGAGCAACCTCAAGGGTTCGTGGTGCAAAGACAAGAAGACAAAGTTCTCAAATTAAAGAAGGCATTATATGACTTAAAACAAGCTCCACGAGCTTGGTACAGTAGAATCAACAATTACTTCTTGGAGCAAGGATTCAGGAGGAGCTATAATGAACCAACACTCTACATCAAGACTCAAGGTACAAATKACACTCTCATTGTTTCTCTATATGTCGATGATCTCATTTATACAAGAAATAATGAGAAGATGGTCAAGAAGTTTAAAGAAGACATGATGAAGACTTTTGAGATGACCGATTTGGGCCTAATGCACTACTTTCTTGGAATTGAAATAACTCAAGAAGAAGAAGGGATCTTCATCTCACAAAAGAAGTATACAAAAACTCTTTTGAAGAAATTCAAAATGGAGGGGTGCAAAACAGTCTCCACCCCATTAGACAACCCTAAAGCATTCAAAAAAGAAGATGGCTCACCAAAGGCAAATGAATAACAATTTCGGAGTATGATAGGAAGTCTTCTCTATTTAACTGCTACAAGACCAGACATCATGTATGCAGTTAGTCTACTATCAAGATTCATGCAGAATCCAAGTCAAGTCTACCATGGCGCAGCTAAAAGAATACTAAGGTATTTACAAGGTACAAAGAGCTATGGAATTTGGTACAGAGTCACACATGACTCTAAGCTCATTGGCTATACAGACAGTGATTGGGCAGGTTCGGTAGATGACATGAAAAGTACATCAGGTTATGCTTTCTCACTTGGATCAGGGATATTTTCTTGCACTTCAAAGAAACAAGCAACTGTTGCCCAATCATCAGCTGAAGCAGAATATATTGCAACAGCAATAACAATGAGCCAAGCTATATGGCTCAAAAAGGATTTGATGACATGGGAGAACCACAAGTTGGTGCTACTGAAATCTACTGCGATAGCAAATCTGCTATCGCAATGGCAAAGAATCCCATATTTCATAGCAGAACCAAACATATTGGCATCAAATATCACTTTATCAGAGAAGCTGAAGGAAACAAAGAAATAGAACTCAGACATTGCAAACTGAAGAACAACTAGTTGACATATTCACAAAGGCACTACCAAAAGGCAAGTTCAAATTGTTACGAGACATGATTGGAGTTGCTGAAATGTGCACCAAGGAGGAGTATTAAATGTTGCTACACATTTTTAGGAGTCTTTGAATCAATTCTCTCGAAGAACAGTAAAGATATGCTATCTTCCAATGTTTGTTTCATTCCAATGTAAATCGTTGCATCTTCCAAAATTAGTTAAATCCAAAGTCTGTCGATTCTTCTCCCAAGGAAATTAATGTCAGTCCAAGTCCAATGCAAGTCGGTTCACCTTCAACCGACTTCATCTAGTATAAATATACCTCATTTGTACTAATTCGACACAACTGAGAGAAACGACAGAATACATCTCTATTTCCTTCTCTCAAATTACTAAGTTTCTTTCTCTCCCTTCTATCATATATTTTTACTATTTTCTGTTATAATCTTCTTCAAACCATCAATTCCTCTTTGTAGGCTGCCATCTTACCCAACTCTGTCGTGCATACCAGAGTGAAGTCCCCTGGGTGAGAGAAGATAATGGCCCAGCCATCTCCTACGTAGTCGTGAAGCTTGAATTTTCCTTTTGTGGTTTCGACTTCCAAGTTTGGAACAATGTCGTCGATCGTCAGTCTAGGCATTTCCAGCACTGAGAGAGCATTCTTCCGCTCTTGTACGAGCGATGACTAGTTTGCTTATTATGTGGCCATTCTTTCCATGTCCATCAAACACCCCACAAATCCACAGGAAACCCTGTGCCATCCAAAGCGTTGCACATCGTGGGTGGAGATAAGAAAGTAAAGCTGAGCTTCCTACACCCAGCCAACACTAGGCGTAACATCGAGGAGATAGTGAGGGTGGTGGACTCCCTACAAAAGGCAGCGAAGCATAAGGTGGCGACCCCAGCAAACTGGAAGTAGGGGAATCCTGTCATCCGTGAGGCATGTGGGCGCAACCTTGACTATAGTCGCTGCTGTCCGGTGCTCACCGCCTAGCTCTTCGCTGCGCTTGCTAGGTCAGCACTGCAGGTATCGTCAGCTATGCCCACGTTGTCAAACGGTTCAATGGTACCGGATGACTCCTAGAAGTGCATCAACTCACTTCAGAGCTTGCTGTAGAGTTGTAACCTAAACATTTTGTAGCCCAACTCCACATGCAACGCCATTCTCTGTTTCTATGGCACTCGGCTCCATCAGATTACCTCGTTGAGTTGCCCCACTGCATTCAACCTTACCTCCTATAGGAACGCAACTCCGATGGTTGCTATCAAGAATTTGGAATGAAATTGCAATTTTCAACGAAAGAGACGATAAACAGTTGCTATGAACAATAAAAAATTAGATGATACATAAGGGGCATTTGTGTCTTTTTCCATGACACTTAATAGTAAGTTAACACCAGGTAATAGATTGTCGCAAAAGTGAAAATTCAAATACTAGATTGTCGCATTTTAAAATTCGAATACTAAATTGACACTCGGCCTAAAGTACAATTTACCTATCGAGAATTTTCCCTAAAAAAAAGGTAACCATTGCATTAGACTGCTTGAGAGAGCACATGAAGCGTGCACTAAATACCATTATGTGATTGCCCCACCTTCCGCAATCCACACATAACAACCCGGTCCACCCACTACTCTATATCTGGCCAATCAATCATAGCTAATCCCCACATAAAACAACACTTTCTAATAAAGCATGTCTTGCCTTGATTAGTGAATGGGTCGGTGATTTCATGACTTTTGTTTTGCTAACAATTCCATGGGTCAAATTACAGTATTGATCTACCGTGCAAGAATTATTAAGATCAATAAGGCTCAGTTTTGAAAGAGTACAAATGCAAATATGTACAGCGTAAATACATATAAAATAATATAAAATATAAGGTTTTGCACTCTACATATTTGCATTTGTACTCCTTTCAAACTCAGCCTAAGGCTCTGTTTGTTTGTTTGCGCTGTAAATACAAATTGCATTAATTTGTTTGTAATTGTAATTATGAATTTACACTCTTGTCTGATATAAAATTTGTACTTTTATCTCATTTTATTTGCACTGGAAGTGCAAATTTTGCATCAGTTTTACACTACTACTTTTCTCCTACCTTAATTATCTCTCATGCATATAATGGAGGTATCGCATCTTGCTTCCTATCATGCTCCCATTCAAGAATTTGCAATTAGCCTATTTGCACTCCATGCATTTACACCATTACAAATAATGAAATTCCACTCCAATACAAACTGAGACAAAAGGAAAACCATAACACCCTTTTCTTATACTAATTATTTTAGAAGGCTAAAGTGGTCTACTCCCTGCAAAAGTAACCTTCCTAGAAGGGACCGGAATCATCACCTCCTTGTCTGTTTCCCCTTGGAGAGAGAGAGAGAGAGAGAGAGAGCACCTCCACCTTCCCTCACACATATGTTCTATATAAGGACATGGATCACAAGTTCGCAACACATCCCCACTATACTCACCAATACCATCTTCCCATTTGCTCATGGCTCCAGCAAAACAACTATCTCTGTTTTTCCTACTCATGCTTGTCTCCTCTCTCCAAATTCAAGCAAGGGAAAGCAAATTCTTCAACAACGTCAAACATTACACCACCACCACCACCACCACCAACGGCAAGGAGACCGATGAGCTCCCCAAGAAAGAAGAAACCTTAACAAAAGAGGACGAGGAGCCAAGCTTCACCCAAGAGAACCAAAACGGTTATGGCCTCTACGGTCATGGCTCGGAACAGCTCCCTCCCACCACTGACAACAACGCATACTACACTTCCGGCAACCTCCCAGAGAAGACCACCACCAACGAATACACTGGTGGAAGCTACGAGTACAGGCAGTTCAATAAACGCTACCCAAACAACCATTACAGCAAAAACATTAATGGCTATGACACCAGGCAGCAGGGAATGGGTGACACAAGGTTTGCAAACGCAGAATACCTAAACAACAACAACAACAATGGCTACGAGACCAGGCAACAAGAAATGGATGGAGAGAGATTTGCAGACACGGGCTACCCCAACAACAACAACTACTACATGTACAACAACAATGGGTACGCGACGGAGCAGCAAGGCATGAGCGACACACGGTTCCTAGAGAACGGCAAGTACTTCTACGATGTCAAGAATGAGAACTCTTATCTCGGTGGATACGGAGGGCAGACGGATGGCCGTCGAGGAACGGACGGCCGTGGTGGTTACAACCGTGGAGGAATGGACGGTCGTGGTGGTTACAACCGTAGAGGAACGGACGGCCGTGGTGGTTATAATGGTAACAACAATGGGAACGCATACGAATACAACTCCATGGAAGGATACCAGAACCAGGAGCAGTACCAAGAGAGCCAGGATGAGTATGAGCCGTGATTTGGTCCATGATCGGTAACACAGCAGAGATGACATTTCTGTGTTCATGGGTGGTGTTGATTCGTATATAACCCGTGATGCGATCAGCATTTGTTCTTGAAAAAATTATGTTTATGAATGATCGATCAATCTTTTTTTTTTTTTTTTTTGTTGTTCCGTAAGTTGTCTTGTATCTGGGTAGCTTTTTTTATGTTTAATTTGTAGACCAAATTAAATGCAGAGAGCTTATGAACATGTGTATTTGGAGAAGAAAGTGTCAATAAATTAATTACTGTATATTATTATAGCTTACAATACATCCTTTCTTTCCAATATTAATGCATTAGAGAGAGCTCCCATGCATGACCAACTCACCGGTATTAATTAAAGAGATTTTTTTTTTTTTTTTCTTACAGTTTGTTTCAATTATCAAGTAAGTGGTGTGTGGTCCGTCAACCCCCAATCCTATTCCTCTACCTACCCAAAAAGCAGAAAATGTCCTGAAACATTAAAGAATTACACTATATGATAAACTCACCTACTAACTCAATTTTCTTCGTGAATTACGGAGGGAATTGTGCAGAGATTATACCTTTCTTATTTATATTTCCAGTCTGATTAAGCATGTCGATGTTCATAGATAAGAACTTCTGGGTCTGCTATGATCAGTATGAACCATACATTAATGACCATTCTCATGGTTATCCATCAGCAGCTGAGACCTGATAGATTGACTCCGGTGGAAAGGCATCCCGGGGCCCAACCTGGAGCTATCTCTGCCTTTTCCACTTTTCAGACTGGGCACCAAATTGTTATCCAGATCCAGGCTCCAGCCCCACTGAGAATGTTTTTCTGAAAATGGACCCAGAACTGACCAAATCGTGTGGGACTAATTTTGTATTGTTTGACGACTATCTAACGAATTAGCTGAGTGTTAAATGTTGATAACTTGAGTAACGTGGCAATATAATTCTTCATCCCCCACGCCACCCGGCTCTGAGGGTTGGCTGTTCAGTTCAACTCTGCAGAAAGAGATCAAGTCATCAAGCTGAACCCACTTCTCTACAGACTTTACAAGTGAAACACGCAAGGTTTCCCTGTCAACTATTGCAGGTCAGAATCACAACGGGACCCAGCCGGAGCGACCTGACCTGGCCAGATGTGGTTCCCTTTCTCATGCATATGGGATCTATGCTTTGCTTGCTTATCAAGTTGGCATCCTTCTCTGTGGAGATATCATATTACGAGTTACCTTTTGCTAGCAAAATAACTGCAAACGCACTTATGATGTTGGGATGGGAATAGTAGCACAAGGGAAGAAGAATGAGAAGGGAGCACATAGAGATATCATTAGACACTAATCATCACAACCACTAAGGATTGTTCATCTTTTCATATAGAAATGGATGCATGATTGATGGGTCATGGAGATGTCTCTTCCTTCTTGTTTCTAGGTCCATAATTTCTTACCAGCAGTGAGGATCGACCTGGTGATGCCCATTTAGGTAATCGATTACTTGTTATTTCCACGTCACCACCATCATCTAACTCTTGCTCCAAGCCCAACTATATGATCCTGTTTAGTCATTGTCATTCCGTGTTTTATTAAGTGCCATACCCATTGTTAAATTATTAGCCCTTAAAATCATTCTTTACAATATTAATTCATGTCCTCTGCCCTCGCTCCACTTGTAATATATCACTTCTTCACGATTTTTTATTTTTAAACAATGTGATTGAATCATCTTAGTATGTTTAATTTTTTTCTCATTTGTCATCTAATTCAAGCTGCTTCTGGGTGGTTTATTGAAGGGTTTTGAAAATCAGATCGGATCGGACTGTCAGACCTGAAAAATCGAGACTCAATCAGGTAATCGGTCGGTTCCATTTCACTCTAAAACCCTTTTTTTGTCAAAAACCATTGGTTTGGTCAATGACCCGCTGACCCAGGTGGTAGAACTGTCGATCCAGACAATAATTTTTTATCATTTTTATTTTTTTTAATGAACCGGTCCTCAGAATGGTTTCCTGTCAGGTCCGGTTTTAAAAACCTTGGTTCATTGAATGAATTCATTTTTTATCTTTATCATTTCTACTTTTTTCTCATTCATCCATCTCAGCATCTCAATTTCTTGTACTCATTTTTTATACATTATTATCTGTTGACATTCCAACAAAACTTAATTATCAAATTAAGACAAAAAAAAAGAAATGTTAAAAAATAATAGTTTACTACAAAAACTGTCAAAAACCCAAATCATGATAGCTTATTAGGTCATCAATTAACTGATTCTACCGTCTGATCTGATCCATGTCTGATAATATTGGTTTGTGAGTTTAAGAAGAACTCTCAACTGATGAGCTAGATAGATTTATTTGAAGAGTCGCATTCAATTTGAACTCATCCCTTGGCTATCTCCCCTCTTGTCACTTGTCAGGGACCCTGCATTGAATTATAATATGTATTTTTTTTTTTTTGCCGAGTTCATTTTCCATGTACGTAGAAACTTTTGCAATGCGACCTCCTTTATTTCAAGCATGGAAATTAAAGGACTGTACCTAAGTGGTTGCCCGATTGGAGAGGTTGGACCATAACTCTAATTAACTCATCACCGACACCCATCAGGCCATCACCCCATCCAAGTTCTCTCTTTCAGAAAAAACTTGTAAAACCTCTTCACTTACAGTTATTTCCAACTTTGATTCACAGTTTTCACTGTTCACAATCAACGTCATTAGAGGAGGTAAAGAGTAAAAAAACTGACGAAAGATTACATTATTTCCACCAAGTTTTGAAATTCAGGCCACACATCTAATGAGCCCATCACCATAAGAATCACAGTTTCTCACTCAACGCCATTAAACGAGATACAGAGTTGAAATATCTGGGTATTTCTTCTTTAATGCAACTGTACTAGAGATTAAATTATTTCCACTAATTTCTGGAATTCGGGCCACACTTGTAATGAGCATCACTCAATGTTATTAGACGAGGTACAGAATTAAGTTAAGCTTGTTTGATTTGGAGTCTGTATTTCTTCTTGGAAGCTACTGGGAAGGTGTCGAGAGATGAGCCAGAGAGCATATCAAATCTTATGAAGTTATGAGCCCATAACGACAAGTATATCAAATTAAATGAGCCCATCCTAAGTGGGCCCACAAAGAGCTCTCATCATCATAAGTTTCTCTTAGTTTTATTATAGCGATTTAAAGGATAGGGATTAGGGATGTCCCCCTTGAGCTGATACTGGAAGTTTCATTTCATGACTGTTTTTGAGCTTGGCACGTTTTTAGGTCTGTAGAAATCTGAAAGACTACTAAGTAATTCATAAACAACAGTATATTTGAAAATGAAATGGATATTCAAAAGTATGTTGTAAAAAATTCTGAAATCTTAATTTTATATATTTTAGACTTTAAAAAAATATCTGATACATTACATAAATATTTAAAAAATATCCCCAAATTTTTTACTAATGCTCATTTGGCCCGTCTTTTATCATATTACATTTATTTGATGAGCAACTTTTTTCCAAACGTTGTTCCATACTTTGCATAAAGCAGGTCTTTGCTTTTCCAAGATACAAGTAATTTTGGATCTCAGCTTTTTTTGGTTCAAACTCACTTAGATTAGATATTCGATAAATTTGAGTTATACTCGAAAGATAAAAAATGTATATATATATATATATATATATATATATATATATATATATATATATATATATCTGTGTGTGTATGTGTTAATTGAGTTAGATTCACGAACTTTTGAGCCAAACTTTTTATTGGCCAAGTTTGAGATAGAATCAAATTCGAATGAAGCCTAATCAATCAGTTAGTGTTGGTGAATAGGATATTGGTTGGGCCATAAATGTATGCAGGCCCAAATCAATAATTTCTAGACTTGTGACCTTATGGCTAAGTTTGCCAGTGCTTATTTGAAAAATAAGTAATTATGTTAAGGAGTGTTTGGTAAAAAAGCATTTATTTGAAACAGGGATAGTATAGGTATTTTTAAAACAATACGACAGGCCAAGGCAGGCTGAAAAGGAAATAATCACTTACTGAATAAGCATTTAAAAATAAATCTAAAATTTGAGCTTATGTCACAAATACAAATAAGCATTTATTGATGTATTCCCAAATAAATGTTTATTCGAATAAACACTTATTTTTAAGCACTTTCAAACTTAACTATAATCATGGATGGCATGATATGAAGACACCTTGGGTGCATTTATATGATCGGTTTAAAAGCTATCAAATATGTGGAAAAAGTAAATTACAAGATGGGGCATTATAAATTTATAACATCAAAAAGGCAAACAACTCGTCTCATTTCTTTATATAAACAGACGACTTAAACCTTTTCCTTTCCCTTTGGTAAATTTTCCTTTTTATTTTGCCCTTTGGTGGCAATCTGCTAGGCTGGGCCAAGAATAAAAAAATCTGGAGTCTTTGGGCGATATGATCTAGGCCCGGTCCTTATGTGGGCATCCTGATTGTACCTCTTTCTGTCGTTCTTTCTTGCATATACGGAGGCTGTAGATTTCAAACAAGTCCGGACCAAAGATGGAGTCATATTCCATTGCCAAGGAACTTTCCTCTTTTGTCCACTTGAGGGGACATAACTTGTTCGCATGTAGGTTTTGTAGGTCTTGTTGACAAAACCACAGGACTTTAAATCCTTTATCTCAATATGTAGCAAAGGGATCCAAACAAATCAAAGTATTATAATGGCAGCAATGCAAGATCTCAAAACGTCTCCCTCTCATGTATAGGAGGAGTTCACATTTCCGCCCCACAGCACATCTACGCTATGTATTAAAAATATTTCCAGATGATCATCGGAACTGATATTATCACCGGGAGATGTTCTCAATACACAACGGGGATGTGCTATGAGGCAGCTCCTTGTGGAGCGGAGATGTGATCTCCATGTATAAAGGATGATAAAATCATTGTAAGACTGTTTGAGACCACCTACCCATTTCTAGAGAGTCATGACCACCCATCATGGT